CTCTTCTCTTCTCTTCTCTTCTCTTCTCTTCTCTTCTCTTCTCTTCTCTTCTCTTCTCTTCTCTTCTCTTCTCTTCTCTTCTCTTCTCTTCTCTTTTCCTGCTACCAACATAACATCATTATGTTGTTTGCGGGAGTTATGGTTTTTATCTTCCTGTCAACAAAATATGCATGCAAATAGACTTAGCTTATTTATAGAGCAACATCAAATTAAACTGCTTGTATAATGACTTAAAACTGGTTATCGCTATCCTGCATAATATCTGTTTAAACACACCACTCGCAGCACGCTTTCCTAATCAAAGGAAGCAACAAAAACACAATGTCACTAATTTTATGTACGCCACAGCTTGCTATTCCAGCTCCCGGCACCGTGTCCCTGCAGCACGTTTTGGTTCCATGCAAATCTTCGGAGAACCTATTTTTTTTTTTTGCTAAATGCCGGAGTTTGGGGTCTCAGTGTCCCACTAAGCTGATTAGTTGAGGTGGCTCCTTCTTCACCTGCTTTTGAGCACAGCAAGCTGCTGCTCCGCTGTGCGTTTACCCACCCGTGGCCACGACCTGGGTGCTCTGCAGAGGAGCTGCCYGTGCCACCCTGATGTCCCCTGGCACGCTCAGCTCTGGAAATGGATTTAATTGGCAATGCAGCTGCCCCAGCAACRCAAGTGCATGGAACAACACCAAAGTCCCATCCCTCCTCTCGCTGTCCTCCATAGCAATGGGGCAGCATCTTCTAGCTCCACCCGAAGGAAAAAATAAATCATGGGAAAGCTGAGCCACATATGGATGCTACAAGACCTTTGCATTGCACTGGCAAGGAGCTTTTAAACTGGGATTCTCAGGGCCCACTCACTGCTTTCTGCTCCGTCATTTGCCCTGCAAATTCTGCTTTCTCATCATTTCCCCAAAAGATTATGGATCCCTTGAACTTTTTGAGAATGCTGGCTGACATCAGAGAGAAAAGCTCTTGCAAGGACATTTTGGAGGCTGTTCAGCCCCCTCTGAAATCTATCTGGATGCTGAGTTTTCATTTTTATCCTTCATGGATGCTCCAAGGTGAAAAGCAACATTTTTAATAATATCCACCTGGTCCCTACACATGGAACAGACTAACTACCCCTAATGGCTACAGAATTTCACCCACCCACTGGTGTAAAATAAATGAAGGTCAAAATCCTGTTTTGGGGACAAGATGTATTATACTGATTGGCAGCGCAGATGCTAAACAAGCAGGAAAAAAATATATAGTGTTAAATACARAGCGGAGAGAAAATCTGCAGGCTCTGAGGATGGATTTCACACTCCCTGCTGAAACCCATGCTTCTGTGTGTGCCTCTGCAAACCAAATCACTGTATTTTTCCCTAAAGCGTATGTGGTTTTTTAGCAGGGCTTTGTCAATGTGGAGGATGCTGATGTGCAATTTTCCACCTTTTTTATTCCACACGTGAGTCATCCCTTGCAATGAAAAACCTGAGGGATTCTGCAAATTACCTGCCAGGTGGATGCCCAGCTTTGTGCGCAAAGTGGCTCTGAGGAGATGGGGACTTGGGCTCACGTGCCAACATGCTTTTTAAATTATTATTTCTCCCTGCATACCCAAAGCAAAATAAAACGTTGCATTCAAGCCTTTGCTGCTAAGCGCTGTCCTAGCTCTTCCCAAGGGAAAGGCTGAGCAGGGGTGGCAGTCCTGCTGTTGGACAGCTTGCTACAGGACACGACTTAGTGATGAAAGAGCCACTGGATGGGGAGGTGGTGYGCAACGAGGGGGCAGGTCCCAGCGCCCGCGTTTGCATTCGTACCTTCCCCAAACTGCAACATCAGCCATTAGGAGTGATTGTAATTAGCACATTGCTAATTCATCAGGCTCTTTTCACTTTGATTTCGCTTATAGAAAGTCCCAGGCCCGTACCTCCTCGGAGAGTTGCATTGCACGTGGGCATGCAAATCCCTGATTTTCCGGTCTAGTCTCAGTAGCACTTTCTGATAACCATGGTCATATCAGGGAATATATGAACCACAGGGGAGCCCATCAAAACCCTGCAAAATCTTGCCCACAGCCCAGCTTCCGTGCACCAAGCAGCTTCCATGTCCTTCAGGGAAGCATCACACTCCAGCCCCAGGATTTCCACATGGAAAACTTGCTCCRTGCTCACATACGCAAACAAGGCATGGAGCCACTTCGACCAAGGCAGCTTGAGGTTTGTGCACCCAAATCCTGCTCAAAGCACAAAAAATAATGAGATGTTCAGACACTTTTAGAGCACTAAGCTCTTTGGGAGCCATGGGCTCACAACCGTGGCACGAGGTATTGCATGAGAAAGGTATTGCAATAAATTATACAGCACTAATGGCCATGCAGCTGTTTAACCAAGGCAAATTGCTTTAGTGATACCTCAGTGCGCTAATGAATGATCTGGTAATTAATTCAAATTATTGAGCATTGGTCTTGCTAGGTTAGAGTGACTTGGCCCAGACCCAAATGGGATATGGAAAATGTCATGCAGAGGGAACAGATCCCCTTTAGAGAGCCGAATCTTTATCACATCTTGCTTGGATATGAGGCTCCTTGGAGATCTTAGGAAACTAAATAATTTCCCCAGATTTGCAGCCACTTGCCACCCATGTTGCCCCCATGGGAGGTAGTTCCCCAGCACAGAGATTTCTAAAAAGCATACTAGTGCTTTTTGAATTCCCTCGGATAGCCAACAAAAGTCCAGAGAGAAATGCTAGGAAGAACAAGCTAAGAGAAATTTCTCCTAGGTTCCCCATCCTTTTTGCAAAAGTCCTAAATTATTGATAAAAAAAAAAAAAGACAGAAACCAGGTGTCATTAGGAACCTCCTGAGCAGGTCAAAACAGAGGCAAAAAAGAGCAAGGAGGTTGTATTTCCCTATGGCAAGCTGTTAAGCATTTCCACATATATTAAGCATTCCACAGGTTAATTCACTAAAATGGCAAAAATCCTACAGGAGAGAAAGCCTTTTTTTTTCTCTTAGCATAAAGAGGTGCAGTGGGGTGAGAGTTAGAAGGATGCTTTGGTCTTACCTGCCCCAGGAAGGAACTACCTATTACCCTCCAAGCTGATAAAATATATGGAAAAACAGCTCCTACCTAACACCAACTGCCATCCCTGCTGTAAAGGGCTGTGGGATCAGGTGTGACATTTAAACAAGACAGGCAGGAGGGGGAAAAAAAAGAAAGGAAAACCACCCCAAGTTGGCAAGGATGAACCAATTACACCCTCAGGAGGCTGTGTTAATTAGAGACTTTCCAGGAGGAGATTTCAAAGGACTTTGCAAACACAGATGGAAGCCACGCAATGTCCTCCGGTGGCATTTCCAATTCCTACAGCTGGCGGCCGATGGAGCCCAAGTTACTCATTAGGCTGATTGATGTTGGGGGGCTGTTAGGACATGAAAATGAATAATCTTGTAGCCAGGTCTTGGTAAGTTAACCCCCCTGCAACATTCATTGCTCCTTGGGAGGGCCCAAAATCACCTAGAGCATCTCCAGAGCAGCCCATCCTCCCTAGCTCAGAGAGGGATAAGTGATTTTTCCCTTTTCTTAAGGAGGTCGTGCAGCAGGTCTGCGTACTAGTCAAGGGGTTGTGCACCCCACACAGAGGGAAACATGAAAAAAAAAGATTGGAATAAGTCACACGTAATTTTCTTGTTCTTAAAGTATGGTTGTAGGCACCTGTTTTTCTGTTTGAGCCAGGGAGGTTCAGAATATGARATGTAATTTTCTTCATCAGCATCAAAACAGCATTCCTTTAAGTGTTTTAAAATGCGCATGAGGGTCACTTAGGAATTAAACATCAAAGCAAAAGAAGGACCACAGCTGCTTCCAGAGCTTAATCTCAAATGGGCAATAACCTTGAGGAACCCTGCAAGGGTTTATGGTGCTAATCCAGAAAATCAAGTCAAAAAAGCCTCTATTACAGCACAAGAAGAAGCACCTTGGCAACAGAGTCTTGTTCACTCTGTTCTTGTCCTAAGTTGTTATTTTTTCCTTCCTTGAGAAGTGTTTTGGGAGGAATATTACAGGGAACAGCCATCACCTCTCGCACATCATCCTGTGAGCCAGAAACATGGACTGTGAGCACCGAGATCCAACAGGTAGGACATGCCCCTCACATGAGTTCCTCATCCCAACTGGGCTTGCAGCACGGAGAAAAGTGCTCCAGCTCCCAAAAATACTCAGGGGGAGGCAAAATAGAATAAAGCTACACTCCCAGGAGCAAAAACGCAACGTGATTAGACGCAGCAGAAGCGAGCAAGTCCTCAATGTGCTACTCCCAATCCATCCATGGTTATGGATGGGTTTTGTTGGGTATGATGGTCCCCCGAGGAGCTGGGAATGATGCATGGTGGGTCAGGCTCTTGTTCCCCACAAGCATGAGGCTGGGACATTCTCCTGCCTTAAAGTTTAATTGCTTTATGGAAATGTAACTCTCAATATTGCATTAGGATCTTTCCCATCTGTTAAACATCAGCCCAGAGAGGTTGGTGACACTTTAAATGAAGCTGTGAAGAGATGCCTTTATTGGAGATGCAATCAGACAGCTGTTTTATTATGAATTAATCATAGTTCATTAAAAGAACCCAATTTTGGGAAAGCAGATATTAACAATTAATCTTGAACAAAGCCACAGCTAATCTTGAATAAAGCCACAACTAAACACGTGCTTGGGAACTTGCCCCAAATCTAAAGATCAAAAAGCAAAACCAGAGAGGTACAACAGGATTAGAGGTAGAGACACGATTGACTTATTTGTTATTTTAAAGCATATTCCAGACCTCTTCCCCCACTGCCCCAGTCACTTTGGCCAACTCTGTTGTCATTAGAGGAACTCTGCACCTTTATGTGATCCCTGATGTCTGTGGTGGAGGTGACACTGAGGTGGCCATGCAGAGCTGAGCCTGTGCTGGAGGGTCCTGCATCCATCCCAACTTCTGATTGCTGAAATACAGAGGTCTCATCTGCTTAGCCCAGCAGCAAGGACCAGAGAGCATGGAAAACATCCACTGGAATTTCCATGGGAATTTTCACAGTTCGTATTGAGCACTTTTTAAGCAATGAAGTCCTTGCCCTGAGAGAGTTGCAGTGAAAAAGATCCAAAGAGTTAAATGAAAACAGGTACACATGCCATGTGTGCTAAACACTTATCTCCTGCTGTTAAAATAAGTCTGTTCTCGATCATTGCGGTGTCTCAGTAGCTGCCTCCTGATCTCTCTCTGCTTCAGCCCTCCATTTGGCCTTCTTCTCTGTATTCATCCTCAGCAGTGTGTGATCCCTCTTAGCAGCCTTGGAAAATAAAAGGCAAAAAAAATCATTGCAGAAAAACACTTCCCATTGATAAATTTCCCCTTCTTTGCACCACTTGATTTGATATCCCACTGTTCTTTTTAATATTTTTGCAATGCAAGAAGTTAATGTATTTCCTTTCTTTACTAAATTATCAGCATTTGTAGCTTGTGATTAGCAGAAAAAAAACATACTGCATATTGAATACAGAGGTGCAGAGCAGCTAGGAAAAATGGTAGGAYTTTCAGTGATTAAAATGTATTTGCAGGGAGCTCTTTAATTGCTTTTTTGGTTTCCATCATCACTGTTTGCTCAGCTGATTTTGGATAGGAATATTGGCCCATTGTCCCCATCTACACTGCTGTTCCTTTTACCTGCCAAAGCAGGGGAGCTCATTGGTGCTGATGCATTTGCAGTCTGCTGATATTATCCAGGTTATTCCGCAACCTTTGGACCAGCCTTTTCCCGAGATACCAGTAAATACCCAGTGCCCTGGATTATGGCAAAGTGGGTCAAGAGGCACCTGTTAACCAGCCAGTAGCACTTGCCAAAGCCACGTGTCCCCCAGGGAACATGGCAATTAGAGTCCCCTGCACCTATTATTGGTATGGACTTTTTCTTAATCTCTTTTTAAATAAATCCTTGAGTAAGGCAGTGCACACAGAGCCCATGTGCTCCGTGGAGAGTTTCCCTCACTCCAAAAGGAAAAAAAATACTCACTTCTTTGCCTGAAATGACCATGGCCAAACAGCCCAGCAAGGTCAGCGCAATCATGACGTAGCAAACTTTTATCCTCACGTTGTTCCTTGCGGCATCCAGGACCTCAGACCTGCAGCGAGCAAGGAAACCTGACTCCTTTCAGCTACTTATATACAAGGCTTTTCTGCTCTTTCTTTGTGTGCTTATAGGAGGGCTCAAAAAGACATGCAAAATTCAGCTAAACTGTGCACAGGTGAGGTCTTGCTGCTGTCAACGATGACACATCCTGCTCTTGTGCCCTCATTTAACATGCGTGACAGTGAGTGGACATGGAGACGAGTCCCGAGCTGCTTAAGAGCCCCAGCCATCGCTGACAAATCCCCACCACCTCCTCCAAGCAGCTCTTGTCTCCTGTGACAGCTGATGCTTGCAAGGCACATTAGCACGACAACCCGAGTCACTTGTGAACCAGCATCCAGCTGTGGACTAATCACAACTGCAAGGGAAACGCCACCTGGAAGAGTCCCCAAGGATGTCACGAGTCAGGCGGCATTAGGTATCTGGCAGTGAGTGGGAAGCCTTTAAGGAAACACCTCAAGAGGGACATGAGACAAGGGCTGGGAGCAAGGAACTCCCAGCAGCTGTCTGCCACCAGCACTGTCGATAGCCCCAAGTCTCCTATAATTYATAAATTATTATTAGTTTTTAGTCATTAAAAATCAGCAAAACACATAAAACTCCAAATTAATATTTTGCCCTGGTGACTTCTGAGCTAAATTCGCTCATTTCACAAAAGACACTTCATCATAGCGTGAAGTTTGACACCTGAAGCAACCGAATCCTGTTTACTCCACAGGAGGTGACAAAGCCTTCATGCTTCCAGAAGGCTGGATTATTTTGGGGTGCCTATAGCAGCCCACCCAAGTGATGCCAGCACTGCACCATCCCCCTTGCCTTGTGAGCAGCCTCCTGACCACGGCCAGGCTGGAGTTTCATCCATGCAAATCCACGTGGTTGCATCTAAAACATCATCCGGGCAAGAAAGGAGTCCCCCATAGCGACCATAGATCTACTCACGAGATGAGCGCAGGAATCTCCTCCTCCTTTTTAAAGCGTCCTGCCCACACTAACACCTTCTTGTCGAAATTCGTAGGCCTGCGGTCATTTTTGAAGGGCTGAAAATCTGTAGGAGATATTGAAAACGCAAGCTGGGAGCCAAGTTTCGAACTGGGATAGATGGAAAAAAAACTACATCAAGGTAGGAAAAAGGGTATTCATGTTCCTAAAGAGCCAGATGTAGTTTTTAAATGGCAGCAGGATTCAGCAGTGCAGCTACTGGCTCAGCTAGGAGGTTGAAGGAAATGTCTTCAGCATTAACTCTAGAAGTGCCCATGGAGGCGAGGGGCTGTCAAGATGGACATAGAGGATGGATATAAGCCCAGCACCAGGCTGGTGGCAGCAAAAGCGCTGCTAAAACAGCCCAAGCAAAACCCAGCCTAAACGCAGCACCACCACCCACCTGGATTTGCACCCTGGGAAGCTGCATCCCGCACTCCCCTGGCCTCGTCGCCGAGCCCTCTCCTGGGACGGGCACAGGGAAGAGGCGCCCGAGGGTCCCGGGCGCGCGTCCCGGCCGGCTGCCCCCACGGGCCGGCCCTGGCGAGCAGGAGCCTCCGCAGCATCGCGCACGGAAAAGCGCCGCTTCCCGCGTCTCGCGCTTCCGCGGCCGCCGCCTGCGTCACCGTGACGGGCACAGTTTATTGCCGTGGCCTGCCAAAAAGACACGCCTTGGAGAGCACAGAGCCCTGGCAGCGCGCACCGGCTCCAGCAAGCCCCAAGAGCCACAGGGCAAAGTAACAGGCACTTCAAGTTCGTTTTCCTACTTTCCCCTGTGTTAGGGTGCAAAATGTGCACTATTTTGCACTGTTTTTTCCCCCCAAAGACAGGCTGTGCACTATTTTGCATTGTTTTTCCTCCAGACACGTCGTGCACTATTTTGCACTGTTTTTTCCCCCAAAGACATGTCGTGCACTATTTTGCACTGTTTTTTTCCCCCAAAGACACGTCGTGCACTATTTTGCACTGTTTTTTCCCCCAAAGATAGGTTGTGCACTATTTTGCACTGTTTTTTCCCCCAAAGATAGGCTGAGTAATTGCTAACCACCACTACCAATCAAGCTGCTGGAGCTCTTAGCTGTTTTTAGCCAAAAAAAATTATCTTGCAGCTCAATTGCATTGAACTGCATCATTGCATCCAATCGCACCGAATTGCATCATTGAGGAAGAACAGAGACTTTGCTGCTGTCTCAGAACAACCRTGGGGTGGGCAAAGGGGGAAAAAACCCCTTCAGTAATCCTCAACTGGAGTGCAAGCAACAACGGTGCAGTAAAGGGGCAAAAAAACTTCAGTAATCCTGCACTAGAGTGAAAACATTTCTTTAAAAGATATTGCATGTGAAAAAATACCAACCGAGTTGTGAACAGCGAAGCAGGGGCACCAAAAGCCCATTTTCTTAGAGTGTTTTCAAAGAGCAGGGCAGCACGGTGGGTGGTTTCAGGCCCTCGACTGCTTATCTTGGAAGCTATTTGCTTTGTGCCCAGCAGCACAAGCCTCGCCCTCCACGCGTATTTGACTAAACCCCTTGGGTTCGCTTGCTTTCCAGGAGCAAAAAGCTGATGTTTGTGATGCTAAATGCAGAGGGAAAGCTCGTCCTGCTGTTCTGACAGTCCCGCATGCAGATTAGGGAGCTTTCCTAGAGATATTTTTCAATTGAGCTTCAAATTGTTAAGCTAAAAATAACATATGAGACACCAGCATATAGAGTATTTGCCAGGAATCGAATGTGGACATGCAAACACCACAGAACATGCAGAGCGCTGGATGTTTCCCACCCCACCAACTGTGCTAAACAGAAGACGCCCCAGAAACGTGGCTGTTTTATCAGCTTTATGTCGCTCCTCCCGCACTTTGCACAAAACTCCACCCAGCCGGCCAGGAAACGAAAGTGCAACCTCCACGAGTCCCATTCCGCACACGGGAGCGTTCACTGCTTCCACACGGCGGGCTCTGAAGGTGATTTTCACCCAGGAAGAACATTTCCATTCAAAAGAGAAGGAGCATTTGCCAAAGGGAAAGCATTGCAGCCTATTTAATAGTATTATCAAATGCAATATTGTAGATATCCAAGGCCAAGGGGAGAAGAGGTAGGGAACGCAGCTGGGGATGTTTGCAAGGATGCTCCTAAGGGCTGCAATGATGAGAGATGCAACACAGATGCTGCTCAAGCTACCCAGTGCCTTCCCCAAGGGAAAACACTTATTTATAGAGATGTCTTATATTTTTCAGGACATAAAGTTCTTGATATTGAAGAAAGAAAGTTGTGGTAGTCATAAGTGTTTTGATTCCCGCCTCCCCCTCTTTCTTCGTGAAAACTTCATAGTGCATCTGGGCATAGCACAATGCATTTCGCTTAATTTTCTTGTAATTCAGTAAGGCAAATTAGATCCATTTCCAGCTTAGGAACGCATGCAGAAAACAAACGTCAGCTTGAGCTTTCAGCTGCGAACTTTGCCACAAACAAGCAGAAAAATATCAGCAGAGTATGCTGAAAGAAGCAGAGGATATTCCCGTCCTGCTCATGATTTTGCAGTGGAGAGATGCCTTGTGCAGCAGGTGAACGATGCATTTGCAGGGAGCATTTGCAGGTCCACTCATGTCCTTGCAGAAGCAGCTGAGCCCACATTCATAAAAGCTTCCAAACAGCAAGGATGCTCTAGCTGACTCAGTGCCAAAATTATTTATTGGCACCAAGGTCACCTGCTCTAATGTTTTTCTGGTCGCTTTAGAAAAAGAGGAAGGAAAAGTAATAGCCCAGCTCAACAAACAGCAACTCCAGTTTGGGCTTGGAACAGCTTTTTGCTTTARAAGGTATTCTCTGAAACACTCACACAAAAGTCACTGTTTTTACCTCGCATCCAAGGCCGAATTTAAAGAGAAGGAATTATCGTTTTTATTGCATCTCCTGTCTTCTCAAATGTGGAGAAAATAGCCTGGTTTCCAGGCCTCCGGTGCTTATCCTCCTAGGGGTTGGCAATTGTTTCCTCTAAAAGTGGCACCAGCTAACAGCTGTATTAATCACATCAGCTGCGAGCGAGAAAGCCCTGCAGGATTTATTGCATCCGCATTTGGGAAGCGCGGACAGACAGACAAGGCCTTGAGAAACCACAAAAGCTGTTACCTGTCCCCAAATTTTACAAGCATCACTTGCCCTGGAGATGCTCAGCATAGCGGGGCGAGTCTGATCACAGTATAAGAAAGGAATAAAAGCTATATCCACCCCTGTGCTGGGCCAGCCTCCTGTATTCCCAATATTATATATTTTGTCTGTCAAACAGAGCCTGCAATGGACTGGGAGCCACTTTACCCTTGCCCCATTGCAAAGCAAACAGGGACAGCAACCACTTTAGGCCAGAACAGTGTCGTCTTTGCTGGTCTTTTCCCCTCCTTTGCTGTACCCCAAAACCTCTGAGGACCTGGCCCTCCAAGGCCGCAGTATAAAAATCCATTGCTCTTTGATTTATGGTTCATTGAGAGCTGTTTTTTCCTACACTTAATTCTCGTTATTGCCAGTCTGTTGCAGCACTGGGTAGCTTCAACATCTGTTCCTTTGCTTTCTAGGAAAAGGCACTTTGAAAGGTTATATTTGTTCCCCTAAAAGCCCAGGTGAGACCATCTGCACTTCTCTCTGCAGCTCCTTAGTTTTTATAAGATCACAGTACATTTTTTTAAGAGGCATATGCAAAAAGAGGCACAGAAGCATTCCATTAAACAGCAACTACTTATGAAAGGGTTTTCCTGGGCAGTGACCTTACCAGCAGGAACCTTAACACTAGGCTTAGTYTCACTTGGTATAAAAAGTTTTTAAAAAACAAGAGTTGTGATGAGGAGTGTGAGACAGCAGCCCCTTAAAATTCTCTGCCTTCCTCCCCTGTAAGTAGATGTGCAGAGGAGCTCGCCCTCGGTTCCCAGCCGGGATAAACAAGCAAGCCTGAGACTGAGGCTCATGAAAGTCTAAGCGAGTCAGGAAATATTTCTCCTCGCAACCTCTTTGCTGGCAGCACAATTTAACACAGCGAGAGCTACGACTTGCTTGGAAACAGCTCACTTACCTGCAGCCCCTGGACCCGGAGCCAGYACTTGGTGAGCCTGGCTTTTCCCTGCACCTCCCTGGAACAGGGAAGGAAACCTTGGGAATGTGTTAATGCAAATCCACAGGGATTAAGAGCTCCRAAACGATGTCTCAGCCTGGCCAAATAAAACAGGGGAAGCAGCTGTAGCATCCTACAACAAAGCTGCACCAAGATGGTCTGTGAAGAGCTCGGGAAGTACCACCAGCACGGAGCACGAATTGTTTCAGGACAGCAAGGTTCGTTTCTGACAACCTCTAATGTTACAGCAAGAGCAGGGCAGCGTTAGTGAAGGGACTCTCCTCACCCTTTTTAATTGCGAATTCCACTTTTCTAATTCCACAGTAACAGAAAGGCCAATTTTTCTTACTTATATCACCTCTAGTCCATCAAATTTGATAGCACCATTACAATGTGGGAGAGAAGAGGAAGAAAAATGGGAAGAAAAAAAAATCCACCTTACACCCATAAATAAGACACCCTGCTCAGGTACTCTGCTAGCTCCAGGCTAGCTTGCTAATTTATGCCATTTGAGCCTATTAATCTCCCAATAAAGGAAAGCAATTAATGTGACCCACTTGGGGCTTTCTACAACAGGTGAAGGAGGTGTGAACCATTCCCTGTCTCTGCCCCTAAGACAAGAAAAAGCAGGATTTGCCCTTTGCTCCAAGCAGTTGCATTTAAGCATTTTCCTCCTTTAGCTCCAGGCACGTCTGGTCTGAGCAGGGATGCTCAATGCTACAGACTGCAAAGGACCCATCCCTAAAGCAGGTGCATCTATTGAAACAGAAAGCACTTCCCAGTGTCCGGGAAAGGGCTCTGCCCTTTCCCGGACACTGGGAACTGCTTTCTGTTCCAATGCAGAACTGGGCTTTGTAGCAGAAAGGTGCAAAAGTTGTAAAACCTGTAGCCACTGTAGTCCAAATAATTTCGTTTTGGCTCAGAATTGGGGGAATCGTTTAATGGAAGCCTTTTCCACACCTGCTTCCCCAGCTGAGCCCAAGGAACTCTCTGACAAGCACAGGCTCCTTGCTCACTTGTCACTTAATGATTTTCTTCCCYGAGAAAAATTGTGCTGTCTTCAGAAACAGACGCGTCTAGGAATTCTTACGCGTATTAGCCAGTGGTTTKGGGGAAAAAACACCCTATTTTTAAAAGTCTGAACAATTCTGTGCAGAAATATCTTCTCCTCACGCTTATTTTTAACATAAGGATGACTTACTGTTGTTCTGCTCCTGCAGGGAAGCTGTGTCCTATTGATCAGGCCAATAAACCTGCTCAGGCTGGTGCGAGTCCCTGCACTAGGGGTTCAAATTTTGCTTCTTAACGACTGGCTGAATATGTATTCAGACACTACAGGAGCAAATGCATCCTGAGGAGCACGTGTCCTACCCCAGGGACGTGTTTGTCCCAGCAATACATAGCACAGTAGGTCATAAAATGGCAAAGTGTCTCCTCAGATTTACCAACCGTGTCTTGAGGACCCCTCCAAAAA